TATATCATTCTCACCAAAATTTAAATTAATTAGATGTATTTAACTATTTTTTAATAGTATATAATTAGTATTATTAAATAAATAATATAAAAATATAGTTTATTTTCTTTGTAAGTTTACATATATCAAATTAATTTTAAATTTAAACTTATAATTTAAATGAATAAAATAAATTTAAATTTAGTTTAAAAAAATAATAATTATATAAATAAAAATTATATATAAAAATATAAAACCTTATGTAAGTTATAATTAATATAACTAGATTTAGATTAATTTTTTTATATTTGTGCTTATCTAGATAAAATTGTTGCGCTTTTCTAAGAATTAGTCACAAATAATCCCTTTAGCTAAGTCATAAACATTTTTCCTATATTTGAATGCTCCTTATAATTTAAACTTTAAAAATAAAATTTTGTAAAAAACAAAAATATTTGTACTATATTAAACATTTTTTCAAAAGCTGAGGGGTGGCTCCCCCCAACCCCATCCTACCCCTTTTCCTACGCTGGCTCCGTCTCTGGTGAGAGAGCATTTTTTCTTCTTTTTTTTGCCACAAAAATTTTCAACTATCGATTATATAATTTGGTTAGACGACCTAATTCCTCTTAGCTAACTCTTGGACTTTGTTTCTACCTTAATTCTTGCCTTCGCTTCGCATATAAATATTTTTATGAATCAATGGTTCATGTTGCGTATAAGAAGACATGAACAGATTCTCGATCCCAACAACTACATAAAGAAGAGAAGATGACGATGATATGAAAAGAGCAGCAAATTAATTAATAACAATTGGATGCAGTGATGCTGATGCACGTCAGGTGTTCCAATGAAAAAACGAAATTGATATAAAATTATAATATTATTTAATATTATAAATTTATAATTATGAAGTATTATTTATATAATTATTTTTTTATTAAAAAATTTATTTGTAATATTTTATATTTTTATTTATTTAATAGCATGTAATGATTATAATATTATAATCTTATGTGATATTATAATTCTATTATTGTAAATAAAAAAATAAAATCATCTTAAAATTAAGACTTCATTTGGTATAGTTGTCATTTTTTATTTTTAGTTTTAATTTTTTTAAATTTTACAATTATTAAAAACCGAAACAAAAAATAAAAGACTAACTATTTATTTAAGACCAATTTTAACATTAACAACAAAAAATATAAACTTAGTTAATAGTATTAAAATTATTTTTATTCTTATTTCTTTAATAATTATGATAATAAATTGTAAAACATAAGTAAACAAATTTTTTGCTTAGAAATAAAAAATTTATAAAATTTAAAATAAAAAACTAAAAACCAGATAGTCATATTAAACAATACATAAATAATCACATAACACAAGTTCAACTCTCTTAATTAAATGATGTTGTTTTCTAATATATGTCTTAAGGGTGTATCTAAGGAACTTTTTAACCATGAAATCATATGAAAAAACATAAAAATTAATATCAATTTTGACACTAATATCATATATATTTTTAATAGATCAATCAATAAAATTAAAATTAATTTTTAATTTTTTATATAATTTAATAATAAAAATATATATGAATTACATTCCTATCACCCTCCCTTAAAAAAATCCTTAGGTGATTATATCCCCTTGTTCTATTTTGTCAATTTAATGTTCTGCTCGCGAGAAGATAACAACTGGGTTTTGATTTTTAAATCGTAACTTTCAAGTTTCAAGTTTTTAAGAAATATTATCTCTAGCTAGTACGAAAACCTATCTTAGGTGTTAGGTTAGCTGTTTATTATATAGAGTATTGTACATCCATTTGATTAACAAATTATCAAATAGCATTGGATAAGCAACGAAACTCTTATTATATAGAGTGTTGTACATCCATTTGATTATCAAATTATAATTATCAAATAGCATTGGATAAACAACGAAACTCTTATTATATAGAGTGTTG